AGTGCAATACCTGCCAGGGTCTCGGGGCGGGGCTGGGAGTGTCCTGAGCCCAGAAGATTAGCTTTTCCAGGATGAGGCGAGGGCTTTCCAATCACCAGGGAACACCTGCTCCTCACTACACATTCACCTACGGGCCCAGAAACAGCAGGGCTCACAGATAAGAGGGGGCAGCCCTCTGCTCCCTGCCCTGCAGGGGGCTGATACACACAAGCTGGCACCAAGCACTCAGCACACGCATCACTGACCCCCGAAAATGCCACATATAAGTGGGAGGGTGGCACAGGCCACACCCTGGAGCTCAGTTTGGGGCCTGGTTTAATTTATAAGGCATCACAATGTGGGAAAAGCCGTGGGAGAGAGACTCACACTGTGAAAAGTTGGGGAGGTGGAGCCCCCCAGTGCAGCCCCACAGAGGCCAGAGGAGTGAGGGCGCCTCGGCACCACACGGGACGGAGTTCCTGAGAGAAGGAGCGGCTGTGCTAAGTAGCCACTGCAGATCCTTGGGCCTAAATCAGTCAGGAAGTAACACCTGATACCCCAGAGGCTAAACAACCCCAAAGATTCTCAGTGACTTAGTTACATCAACAAGTTTCCAACACTTAGCAGACTTTGGCCAACCACATCCACGTGACACTCCCACACAGAAGATGAAAGGTGTCCTTTTACCCGAAGACACGCCCCAAGCTCCGTGAGATGCCACAGAACAGGTTCAAAGCTGTCCTAGCTGCCCTCGGGCAGTTATTTGGAAAAGAAAATTCAGAGCCAAATAAACATTTTTTCCTAGCTTTGAAGAGCCTCAAAAGTTTCAAAAACCCACAAGGGCCTTGGGCAGGCAACTCTAGTCCTAAGACCCAAATATAAGAACTTTTTTCATCCTTTAGCCTTCAAATATCAAAAAAACCGCAACCTCTCCAAATGATTGCTTGATTTTCAAAAACACTTACGTCTAGACTAGTTCATTCCCCGACATCAAGGCCAATTTCCCACCACACAAGCACAAGAGCTTTCAAAGATGTTGCCAAAGGTCCACCCATGGCCACAAGATATACAGCGTAAGCCTCTCCCCTTGGAGCCCCCAAGTCACCAGACCCCATCACCAGGCCTGAGGGACACAGGGCAGCAGCACAGAGGCCCAGAAGCCCCGTCAGAACCCCACTGGGGCTGACCCTTAGCTCACAGCTGTGGAGGAGAGAAGGGCTTCCAGGGCTCTGAGCCCCTAGGCTCCCACCTGTGGGGGGACCCCTGGGAGCCTGCGAGCGCCCCACCCCCCTCCACCTGGTGGATGCTCCCCCCTGGAGTGTGCGCGGCACAGCTGTAAGGCCCAAGCAACTCTGCTGGCACAGAAGTTCGGCCTCTGGAGCACTTACCAGTGGTGGTGGGTGGTGAGCACTGTAGTCAGCTTCACACCGTGCTTCCTCACCATTTCCACAACCTGCAACCAAACATGAGGCAGGACACAGGCCACAGTCACACCCGGCACTGGCTCATCAGTATGCAGGGTGATGCCCAGTAGAGCCTGCCAATTTGCCCCAGCTCCAGGAGAGCAGGGTGACAAGGAGGCTTTTTCTCCCTTGATCCGTTCGGCAGTTCAGTCCCACCCACAACCTCTCAAAGCCCCTCCAGCAGAGACTGCCACTCTTAGAGGCAGCACTAAGGGGCAGAAAGCCCTGAGGCGGAGGAGAAAGTGCTGAGAAGGGCTCCTCCTTCTCTTGCCCAGGGACTCTACAGACAGGAGCCCTTTTCTCTCCACTCCAAAGCCTTTGGTCGCTTCCACCCCTCTCACTGGCCCTTTGCCCCTGTAACAGAGTGGCTGGACACTAGTTTAACTGTTTTTCAAAAACCAAATGGATTAATTTCTGTTCAGCTTTGGCCAAGTTGCAAGGGCACTGTGGTTATCAAACTCATCAGGAGATGAAGAACTGGTTCTGGGGCCTCGCCTCCCACCTTCTGGGGCTGCACCGGGTCCACAATGGCAGCCTCCTTGGTGTCATCATCGATGATCAGGTACATGTAATTGTCGGTCAGAGCAGGCAGTAACTCAACCTTCATCGTGCCCTGCTCCACGGTCAAGCTCTTCCTTAAATCCGTGTGATGGAGAAAGATTCCCAGCAGGGCTGGACCTGAAGACAAAATGTGGTTCCAGTCAGCGTCCACATGAGGCCACGCTGGGCCGAGACTTCAAAGCAAGCCCTTGGCCCAGCAGTCCAGGCGTCCGGGGAAGTGACATCCCAGGGATGCAACGTGGTGAAATACGAAGGTTTTCTAAGTTCTTTGATAAAGAAGAGGATAGCCTCATTTAACCACATCCGTAAGGAAAACAGAGAACACGATTCATGTTCATAATTGTGGAAATCAGCTCTTTCAGACTTAGGATCCCTATTTTCTTTTTCAAAGGTTCTAAAAGGACACAAATGCCAGCCTGTCCCTGTGATTCAAACCTTTGTCAGATGTGACCACTGCCAGTTCTGGGGTTGTTCACACCTGATTCAGAGAAAGACCATGAAGAATGAAAGCGCCAGGCCAGGCTCTTTTCCCTCGGCATATGGCTGCCTCTGCAAGCTAACAGAGCCTGAGTCCTGTGCAGTTACTCACAGCCCTTCTCAGGTCTCGAGCCAGAAAAGAAAACAATATCCACTTTCAAATGGCAAGAACTCGAAATTTGGATAATGCACAAAAGCCACCCGGGGCCTGAGAAATGGGACAGCTGGTCACAACTGTTCTAGATTCGAGTGTGCATGATACAGAATCACCATCCAACTGAGCCAAAGAAGGCTGCCAGTGTGGGCTGGGAGTGACCAAGGGGCAAAAGCATCCTCCGCCCAGGAGACAGGTGCCAAAATGTTTTCAACAATGAAACTCCTATTCAATCTAAAAATTCCCAAAGGCCCCCAACAATACTTTAAATCTTAGTGTGAAAGGGATTAAAACTGCAAAAGGTGACAGAAGACAGCCATGAAATTCTGGAGTAGGTAGGTGCTGGGATGGGACCTCTCCAAAAAAAGGGATCCAGAGAGCAGGCAGCATCAACCAACAGACTGATAGACCACGTCCACGGGGGCCATCTGATGCAGAATTCAAGCTCATCTGCCATGGCCAGGGAACTGCCTGAATTGCAGCGTTAAGGATCACACAGAGGTAGCTAAGTCCTCCTTTTGACAACCAGCTGGGCTTTTTCCAGGCCCTTCTCCTCATGCTCGGCAAAACAAACATTTTCACATGATCAGGTTTCTGTGCTATGCCACCTCCTCTCAGCCCCGATATGTGCCATACGAGCTCCAGGAGGACTACAGAGCAGAGTCAAGGCCAAGCCTTGAGACACATTTTGTTGGGCTTCTCTTGAACTGGATCCCTCCTTCTGCATGGCATCAAAGGGCTGGCGCCCCCTCTGAACGGGGCAGCCACACTCTTGCTGATTCCCTACAATCCCACTTCCACCACCCGCCTGACTCCTGACACAGGAACTCTTAGCTCTGATGCTCTGACGAGTTCCCTAAATGGAAAAAACCCAGCTCTTTCCTTAATAGTGGTGACACACTGCGCACTCCAGAACCTCGACTGCTCTCAGTAAGATCTGGAAGTGGCCAAGGATGGCTTCCTTCTGCTTCATCTCCCTACCTAGGGCTCTGCGGTTATTTAGCTAACTGCTAGCCAGCTCCAAAGACTCAGCTTAACCCACTGCCCCTATTGCTACATCAGTCAGATAAGATATCAGGAAATAAAGGTGATATCAAAGTCAAAATATTCCAACAAAGCAAGAGGTAACACAGTGAAAATGGAATCTGACAGCTGGAAGAGCAGGCCCTTGGAGGTCAGGGCGCCCATCGCCTCTTTTTTTTTTTTGGTACGTGGGCCTCACTGTTGTGGTCTCTCCCGCTGCGGAGCATAGGCTCCGGACGCGCAGGCTCAGCGGCCATGGCTCACGGGCCCAGCCGCTCCGCGGCATGTGGGATCTTCCCGGACCGGGGCACGAACCTGCGTCCCCTGCATCGGCAGGCGGACTCTCAACCACTGCGCCACCAGGGAAGCCCCGCCTCCCATTTTTGAGGCGGGGATAGGAGACCCAAAGAGGGCAAGGGTCCCACGGCTCACAGAACCCAGTTCTGCCCCAGGCTTTTCTTGCCGGCCACAGCTCACATGAAAAGCTGTGATTCACTTCGTGGAGAATATACACAGCATTCTGTGCGGCTTCAGGCACAGTTCCATCATCCCTGGGCGTTAGAAATAATGGGGTTTGTATGGGGCGCCGCAGTCAAGGAGGATGGGGGCGCTCGCTGGCTGCCAGGCAGACCCTAGGGAAGCAGGGGTCCTAAGACAGGGCTCCCGAGCGTCCCTGGAACACCCATTTCCTTACCTAGCACAAATCCTTCAGCAACCCCCAGCTGACAAGTTACCCCACTCTGTCTTCAGCCCTCTCAAAGTCTGACTCAACTGCTGTGTGGCCTTTTCTCGACCCCAATCGGCTTGCCTGCCGACGTCAGTTAGGGGCTAAAATCCTGTGTCAATAAAAAACAGCGTCAGCCGCGGCGGCCCCAGCGGCTCCCCGCCGGCCCCCCCGGTGCGGGCCCCGCGCTGGAACGCTTCACGGATTGCGGCCGGCCTAACCGCCTTTAGCCCGGCTACGACGCCGGCCAGGACCCGCCGGCCGGGCGGCTCGCCTCGCCCCCACGAGCCGGTCACCGTGGCCCCGGCCCCTGTCAGGCCAGCGCCTTGGCACCCCGGCCAGTCCGGCCCCGCGGCGGCCCCGGCCCACCTACCCAGGCCGCAACGGGCGCAGGACGCTCTCAGCGCAGCTAGGGTCCGGCAGCCGAGCAGCCAGCGGCCCAGCACCATGACCGAGTCGGAGGGCGGGCTGCGGCGCGAGGGGTGGGCGGGCTCTTCACGCCGGCGACGGCAAACCGCAGCCAACCAGCGCCCGCCGCCCCACCCCAGACCAATCAGCGCTCGCGTCCAAACCCGTGCCCTCAGTTCGCCCCGCCCTTCGGCCAATCAGCGCTCGCGGCCACACCGGTGCCTCGTTAGCGTCCCGCTGCCGCGGATCTGAGGGCCCCCTGAGAGGCACCTGCGCAAGAACCTCAGCCTCTCTCCGGGGAGCGGGCCGTGTCCCGAGGCCGGGAAGCCCCGAGGCAGCCACTGGACAGGCGCTCCCAAGAGGACGAGCGCCGCGACTCCCGGGCACCCGGCGGAGTCCGCGGGACGGTGCTCCGAGGTAGTTGGTCCTCTCCGGGTAGCCTTCGGCGTCCGGTGGCCAGCCGGGCAGAGTCCACGTGACTCAGGGGGGCAACAGGCAGGAGCATGGCTGCCACCAGACCGCTGTCCCGCTTCTGGGAGTGGGGGAAGAACATCGTGTGCGTGGGCAGGAACTACGCAGACCACGTCAGGGAGATGCAGAGCGCCGCACTGAGCGAGCCGGTGCTCTTCCTGAAGCCGTCCACCGCCTACGCCCCCGAGGGCTCGCCGGTCCTCGTGCCCGCCTACACCTGCAACCTGCACCACGAGCTCGAGCTGGCCGTGGTGATGGGCAAGCGCTGCTGCGCCGTCCCAGAGGCCGCAGCCATGGGCTACGTGGCCGGCTATGCCCTGTGCCTGGACATGACCGCCAGGGACGTGCAGGACGAGTGCAAGAAAAAGGGGCTGCCCTGGACTCTGGCCAAGAGCTTCACGGCCTCCTGCCCGGTCAGCGCGTTCGTGCCCAAAGAGAAGATCCCTGACCCTCACAACCTGAAGCTCTGGCTCAAGGTCAACGGCGAACTCAGGCAGGAGGGTGAGACATCCTCCATGATTTTTTCCATCCCCTACATCATCAGCTACGTTTCAAAGATCATGACCTTGGAAGAAGGAGATGTTATCTTGACCGGGACGCCAAAGGGAGTGGGTCCCGTTAAAGAAAACGATGAGATCCAGGCTGGCATACACGGGGTCGTCAGTATGAGATTTAAGGTGGAAAAGCCAGAATATTGAGTGTATCCAAAGCACCCTAACTTCTTAACACGTTTCAGGGGGAAGGGGAACAAGATAAAAGCAAGAAAAGGTTATTTAATGTGATAATCCTTTAATGAGAAACTAATTTTTTAAAAATGATTGGATTGCTATGCCTCAACTCAAGGAAGATGGACCGTCGGAGAAAAACCTGATCTAGAAGAGCTGGGCCAGAAATGGAAATGAGAAGCAGTGCCTCCTAGGAAACAACAAGCCAAATGTTCAGAAAACTTACTTTCCTTTCCTAAAACTGGACCGGATAATACTTCAGTGGGTCATTCTGCGACCACGTGTTCAAGACTTAAAATCTGCAAAGGAAATGGAAAAGCACGTTTAATCAGTGTTTCCCAAAGTTCCTTGATGATGAAAATCATCTGGAGGTATTTGTAAAAGTAAAAATTTCCAAATTGCTGGGCCATCCCAGGCCTAATATATTAATTAATGGAATCAATCTCTGGCACTCCAAGTGATTCTTATCATGCAAATGTGGAAAAACACTACTCCACATAGTTAATTAAAAGTTTTATTTAATAAGTGAGCAATTAATGAAAACCTCACTTGTTTACTTAGGGTGTGTATTCTGGCCCATAGATTCTGAGTTAGGGAGATAATTTTGAAACTTGTTTCCCAAATAAATATGCTGTCTTTTGTGTGACCTAAAAGTGTACATTTTCCCCCCCAATAGTGGTTAGGAGGGACACATCTCATTAAGGGGCTTCAGACCTTGGTCTTTGGCCTCCAGAATACTGTGCTTTATTAACAGAGTTAATCAGCACCTGTACCTCGCACCCAGCGATAAGGAAGCTTCAGGGAAGTCAAACTGCCTGGGAGTGCTGCTTTTGCTCTCACCTGCTCCCTTCTCTGACAAAAAGCTAAGTGAGATGCACAACACAGCTATCAGAGTGCCTGGCAGAGTCCTTTAGGCTTAGGCAGGCAGGAGCTCCTGCTGTTAGCCTAAACAGAAGGCACCTGCTGGCTCCTAACATTTATTGAGCACTTTGTACTACTAGGCACTGTGCCAAGAGTTTTCTGTGTATTATTTAATCCTCAACAAAGCTGGAGGGTGGTATTATTACTACCATCCCTGTTACACAGACGGAGACAGATTTAGAGGCTAGCCAGCCTGGCTGTATGATCACTCAGCTAAGTGGCAGAGCCAAGATGTAACCCAGCCATCCCAAGACCAAATCCTGAATTTTTTTTTCCGTATTTTTTTTTATTGAAGTATAGTTGATTTACAATGTTGTGCCAATCTCTGCTGCACAGCAAAGTGACTCAGTTTTACACATATAGAAATTTTTTTTAAAATATTCTTTTCCACTATGGTTTATCCCAGGAGATTGGATATAGCTCCCCGTGCTATAGAGTAGGACCTTGTTTATCCATTCTAAATGTACAAAACCTGAAGTCTTGACCACAACGCAGGCTGCGTCTTTTAAGTAGATATATTAGAAAGTTCAAATGTTTAGGTCTTATGCAACCTAAACTTTATGCAATTTATAATTTATTATGAGGAAATGTCATAGTTGGATTTGTTTATAAAATGTCATACTATCTTTTATCTTTTTTTTGTTTTGTTTTTTTGGCCACATCCGGGCCACAGCAGTGAAAGCCCAGAATCCTAACCACTAGGCCACTGGGGAACTCCCTTTTTTTTTTTCTTTTTTTCTGCGGTACGCGGGCCTCTCACTGTTGTGGCCTCTCCCGCTGCGGAGCACAGGCTCCAGATGCACAGGCTCAGCGGCCATGGCTCACAGGCCCAGCAGCTCCACGGCATGTGGGATCTCCCCGGACTGGGCCACGCACCCGTGTCCCCTGCATCGGCAGGCGGACTCTCAACCACTGCACCACCAGGGAAGCCCCAGGAACTCCCTTCTTTTATCTTTTAATAACACTTCTTTTTTCAAATGCTTAAGCAATAGATGTTTATTATAGAAGACTCAGAAAATATGTATAAGCTAAAAACCAAAACACCCCAAATTTCATATGCACAGAGACAGTCCAAATTAAGCATTTGGTGTACATTCTTCCAAATCTGCAGATGTAATTGTGATCTTTTAAATAGAATTTGTTCATATCATACAATTTTCTAACCTTTTTTCACTATATATCGTGAGTATCTTTTCATGTCAGCACATTTCAGTGATTGCATATGATGAAGTCAGTCCTCCATTTTTGGTCATTGAAATATTTTCTAATTATTTGCTAATAGTTATTTCCTTTGGCTAGGTTCCCATAGTGGAAGAGCTGAATCAAGGGTATGCTTATATTGAGAGTTTATTAGTAAAACTATCAGATATGAGGTCCAGCTGAACCAAGTCTACCAAGCTGACAGATGTGAAAGCAAGCTAAAGGTACACAGCAGGAGCAGTGTTCACATATGGCCCCCTTGGGTGGACAAGCCAGCATCCAGATAATGTACGGTGCCCCTGAGGTCAATGTTCACCCAGTGGTGGCACAAGCTTTGTCACAGACAGCTGCTATCAGCATTGCAGGTATAGCACACAAACTCCTTGACTGCAGGAATCAAAAAGAGAGATACCAATTCTCATAATTCCTGATGTTGCTAAAATCGCAATAATCCTAATACCCAGAAAGTACATTTTCACCAACTTTTATTTTTGAATAAATTTAAACCTACTATACAATTGAAAGACTAATGCAACAAACTCCATATACCCTGCACTAAATTCAACAATTGTTGACATTTGCTATGTTCATTCTCTCTCTTCCCACCCCACACCCTGTGTGTATACACACACACAAACACACACGTTTTGGAAAACTGAAAACTGGAAGTGAAGTGAGTTGCAGAAACACTCTACCCTTTCAGCATGCATCTCCTAAAAATAAGGACATTCTCCTACATAGTTACAATACCCTTATCACAACTTTTTAAAAATCCATGATATTATTAGTTCATATAGAGTATATGGCTTGACATCTGTTCTTCTGGACTTTTTTTTTTTAATTGTTCATTAGGCATATACTGTGAATATCTTTCCAGGTCGGTGCATATTTTCATAACCACTTTTAATGACTGTGTCTTAGATCATGTACCCCAGAAGCAGAGCCTTAAGTGGGGATATTTGTTCAGGTGATTTTTAGGAGTGCTCTCAGGAGAAAGGAAGTGAAGAGGAAGTAGAAAGGGCAGGGAACAAACTAAGAAAGAACAGGGTCTCAGAGCTGGAGATGAGTTTCAGTCCACTGACCATCCCAAGGGGATGTCATTGCCAGAATCTGCTCCCCCACCTCTACTGTAACTTCCCCAGGTAATTCTCCAACCTTCATAGAAGCTGAGGGCTAGGTGCCTACCAGAGATCTGGGTGGAGCCCAACACTCCCCTAGAACAGCAGTGCCCAACGTTTCTAGCACCAGGGACCGGTTTCATGGAAGACAAGTTTTCCACAGATGGGGGGGAAGGGGAAGAACGATTTCCAGATGATTCAAGTGCATTACATTTATTGTACACTTTATTACTATTACATTGTAATATATAATGAAATAATTATACAACTCACCATATTGCTAACAGGAGGTGGAGCTCAGGTGGTAATGCAAGCCATGGGAAGCAGCTGTAAATACAGATGAAGCTTCGCTCCCTAGCAGGCCACTCACCTCCTGCTGTGCGGCCCGGACCAGGGGTTGGGAACCCCTGCCCTAGAGGTTGCATAGGTTTCAAATGCTTTGCTACTAGAAACAATGATACAAGGAACATCCTCCATACACATAATTTGGCACTTGTTCATTTCCTTAGGGAAAGTCTTAGAGGTGAAATTTATTAAATAGTTTGCCAGTTACATTTTGATACTTTTCGCCAAATTGCCCAGGGGAAAGGATATACTAATTTGTACTTGACAAGAGTGTTAAAGAATACCTTTTTGCTCACACCTTAGCCAACACTGGGTATTGTGGCTATGGTCTTTTTAATTTGCGTTTCTCTGATTAATAGTGAAGCTTATATCTTTTCATGTGTTTATACAGTTCTTTTTTTAAATAAATTTATTTTATTTATTTTTGGTTGTGTTGGGTCTTCGTTGCAGCGCATGAGCTTTCTCTAGTTGCGATGAGCGGGGACTACTCTTTCTTGAGGTGTACAGGCTTCTCATTGCGGTGGCTTCTCTTGTTGCAGAGTACAGGCTCTAGGCACGTGGGCTTCAGTAGTTGTGGCTCTAGGGCTCTAGAGCTCAGGCTCAGTAGTTATGGTGCATGGGTTTAGTTGCTCCGCGGCATGTGGGATCTTCCCAGATCAGGGATCGAACCCGTGTCCCCTGTATTGGCAGGTGGATTCTTAACCACTGCACCACCAGGGAAGTCCCCACAGTTATCTTTTTAACAAGACTATTGGGCACATCTTTGGTGTAAATGTTGGTTGATGTAGGATCTGATTTCAAGGAAGTTTTATATTTCCTTTCAATACAATTCATATGCTAAAACCTTCATATATTCTAAAGGGAAAGAGTAAAGTAATTGTAAATCTAATAAGATACTAGAAAAAAATTCAAATTATAAAAGCAAAATAGACATAATACAACAAATATATTGTCAAATATGAGTGCCAATGATATTGCTATACCTCGACATTTACAATAACTGGTACTTATTGATCATATACTAAGTACATGAGTCTAAGCACTTTACATATACTAACTTATTTAGTCTTAACAGTTGCCCACAGGAGTTGGTATATTATTATCCCCACTTACCAAAGGGGAAACCACAAATGTGGAGAAGCTTAGAGCTGGAGTCCATCCTGGGAGTAGCAGACGGGGTTGAGCCTGCAGCCACAGAGCCTGCCCACTCAGCCACCTCCACATCTACCTCCTCTAACTTGGCCTTCATGTCCCATCTGTAAAGTGGGCAAAATAACAGTAATTGCATAAATCAGATAATATAAATAAAGTGCTTATTACAAAATCCATCACATTAAAAAGTATTCAATAATGTAACATTGTTGCAACAATTTAATATCTAGAAACTTATCCCAAAGAAATAATTAAGAATGTGGGGCTTTCCTGGTGGCGCAGTGGTTGAGAGTCCACCTGCCAATGCAGGGGACACGGGTTCGTGCCCTGGTCTGGGAAGATCCCACTTGCCGTGGAGCGGCTGGGCCCATGAGCCATGGCCGCTGAGCCTGTGCGTCCGGAGGCTGTGCTCTGCAACGGGAGAGGCCACAACAGTGAGAGGCCCGCGTATCGCAAAAAAAAAAAATGTGGCCAAAGATTTAGCTATAGCCATCATTTGTAATAGCAAAAAATGTGAAACATTTTAAATGTCAAATGTTATTAGATTGATTACATTCACTATCATATACTCATATAATAAAATAATATGTAGCTATTGAAATTATGTAGAATATTTAATGGCATGAAAAGTTTATTATAAATTATTAAGTATAAAAGCAGGTTATAGTATAACCTGTATTTGTAAATCATATGTTTTTAATTTTTTGGTTTTATTTTATAAATTATATGCTCTAACATAGATGGAGAGATGATAAAAACTCAGGAAAAACGTTTACAAAAATGTGGATGCTTGTACACAGATGTTCAAGTAGCTATGATTGGCTAATCACAATAGCCAAAAGGTGGAACAGCCCAATTGTCCACCAAGATATTAATAGATAAACAAAAGGTGGTACATTTATCCAATTCATACATACTACTCAGCCATAAAAAGGAATGAAATTCTGACATGTTATAACATGGATGAACCTTGAAAACATTATGCTCAGAAAAATAAGACATAAAAGGACAAATATTGTATGATTCCATGTATATCAGGTACCAAGAATAGGTAAACTCATAGAGACCAAGTAGATTAGAGGTTATCAGAAACTGGGGGAGGGGGAAATGGGGAGTTATTGTCTTAATGTGTACAGAATTTCAATTTGTGATGATTAAAAATTTCTGGAAATGGATAGTGGTGATGTTTACACAAAATTGTGAATGTACTTTAATGCCACTCAATTGTACACTTAAAAATGGTCAAAATGGTAAATTTTATGTGATGTATATTTTACCACAATAAAAAAACAAAACAAAAACACATTTATAAGAAAAGAATATATTTCCTACCAGTTTAAAAAAATTGGGATGGGAGATTATGGGTTTTCTTTTCTTTCCTTTTCCTTTTTTTTTTTTATCATTTTCTCTAATTTTTCTACAATAAACACACAAAACTTTATGATAAAAAATATTTAAAAAGCAAAAACAACTCCAGGGTTCCTCAAGATGAGTAATAGGTGGATAAATATATATTGTGTTTCTGCCACGTACAGAGTATTGAACCACAACAACAAAAACCCTCACCAAAGCAGAATTAGGAAAGGAAAACTGTATTTAAATGAACCACTAATAGAAGATTAGGAAAAATTATATAGTCACCAAACTATTTATATAAAGCAATATAAAACATGTAGATCAGAAGTCACTAGGACCAGGAAAAGCAGCTTCTGGAGAGCAGCAGAGAAATAGAGATCCTGGACAGGGAGTTGTAGATTTTGTGTTGATGGGGCAGAATGCTTCTTTCTTTCATTGATACTTCAAGTACCTGCATTCTGGCTAATCTACAGCCAAATTTTAGATACTGACCCGTTTGTAATCTTCATTCTGTGAATGTGTAAGTTAAGTAAGCTCTGTGAAGCACCTCTGATTCAGTGTGGCATGACAGCTAGCCCTGTAGATTCCAATTTCATCAGATGAAATAAGCAACTGTGATGTCCCTCTAGTGACAGGCATGGGGTCTCCTTAGTTAAATGCCAGCAGACTGAGAGGTCACCATGGTAGCAGTGAGGAAGTCATGCAGAGCCCTCTGCTGCCCACTAGGCCTTCATAGGCCTTGGTTAGGCAACACTGAGTACTGCATATGCACCTACTTTGAGAATGCTGGTATTTTGTACCTGTATTATGCAGTTGAGGCTAGTGGTGAAACATCCAGGGCAGCTGAGGGCCATGGACTATAGGAGCCCAGACAGCTGGTTCTGGCACCCAAAGTGCCAGGTGTTGGCACTTTGAGACCTGCTGCTGGAGGTCAGAGCCCCAGGAGGCCTGGCACAGCAGCGCCGGACACACTATCTGGGCCAGGCATCCTTGTCCCTGCACCACTCTCCTTCCTTCCTTCCCTGTCCACCTTCACAATTCACCCTGATTAACACACCTATCCCCTCCCCGAGGGAGAAAGGAAGGAAGCCCTTCATCAGGTACACTTGATATTTGCACAACTATGATCAAGATCTTCATTACTTCATTTATTACCACAATTTAGACACACTAAGTGTCAACTCATATCCCTCCCCCATGGCTGCATATGGTTAAAGCCAGAGAAAACATTACTGACAAGATAAGTTTATCTCCCAACACCAGCTTTATAAAAGAATTCCGTTCACTTACTTTTTCTTTTTTCACTCCTGTGGTGGGTGAAGTGTAGCCTTTGAAGTGCCAGACCCAAATTACGCTGGACAAACCTCCCACACTGTGGATCAACACTGACCGCAGTGGTGGGTCTTTGCCCTGAAGCAAGTGACCAGTGACCTGAGATGGTGTGGAGCTGAGCAGAGCACTCTGGGGCTGCTGCAAAGGCAGCTGAAGTGGAGGGGCCGTCGCCCTGTCAAAGCAGAGCAGGTCACCCACCCTTCCAAGTTCCTAAGACTCGTCACCGCTTGTGAAACTTCTGAAGCTGGTCTTCCCCGAGTTGATTCAGACTCACAAATGTCAAGCCTGAGTCAGCAAGCCTTCACAAGCATTGGGTAGCTCTGATGTGTCATCAGAGAAAGCAACCGACTAGAAAAGCTCTACAGTGATCAAAACAGTTGTACAGCATCACCCATGGACTTCTGCCGTCCCCACCCGGCACTGGGAGAACCGGTCGTCTGTGCCCATCAGCTCCAGCAAAGTAGTCTGAGCCATGGCCACGTTGTTTTTATAGGTTCTTATCTTTCTCCAGGCAAACAAGACAAACAGGAAAGGGGCTTAAGAAAAATCATTCATATCTGTGGGAAAGATTAAACTTGTTTATTAATTCATGCAAACATTTTCCAACTTGGGAAGAGAGAGAGGGCAAAGCCAGTAGAAAAAGCCTTCTAAGAAATGAACTTGAATAAGAGGGGGATTTTAGGATTTACTCTTAACCAACTCCAGAGGGAAACAGAATAACAATTTACAGAAACATTCTCACCACATTTGAACAAAATACAATTTTATCTGTAATTTTCAAACTCATTTTCCACTTTAAAGGCAGTTAAAACTTGTATTCTTTTCCAGAGTTTAAAATGACGTCTGGTTTTTAAATATTTCCTTGTCCAGACAAGTTCCTACTTGCCTCGATAGGATCTGCGAGCTTACAGGAGAGCACACTCACTCTCAGTCCACTCCTTGCTCTATGAGATAAAAAAAACTGCAGGGAGAAAAAGAGAGTTAGTTTCTAAAATCACCTGGTATACAACGCTGAAAACCAACGACCACAAATAGAGAACAGCAATGAGTTTTCTTTACAGATATGAACAAATACTTCAATTAAAGCTGTAAGACAATGGAAAGAGTTCCAGTCTCAGGCAGAGTTGGGAGAAAAATTATAGATCTGGCTTCTGACAGTAATTTTGTAAAAATCCACATCAATTTTTCATGACCTTTTTCTCAGGTAGGAAAGTTGGCATTTCAAATCCAACATGTAGAAAAAAGGGCTTAAAGTGTGTTCAAACAACCAATTGTGACAGACGTGAACCCGCAGCAGTAACGTGACCTGTTAGAGCACAACAATATCATGATGCGGTTGATTAATAATGATGTCTCACTTTTTACAATTTACAAAGCACTCTCACCAACATTTTACTTAGTATAGAGTGGAAGGACACATCAGCTAGGCACTTTAATTTCCTTCATTAATTAATGAATTGAATTAAATCTTTGACATGTATTCATTTTATTTTGTATGAGTCAATTTAACCTTTTTGAAAATTATTCTTTAACATTAATATCAGATCTTACAAGGATCTGTGATACTAATATCACTATGTGTTTTAAAACATTGAAATGAATAACTCACTTTGAAATCCCTCCAAATGAACCACTTTAAGTAGCCATTATTTTTAATTGAAATATGATAAATATACAAAATGTCCTATATGGAAATCCTTTGTTTTTATCTTATTAGCAGAGCAATGTAAGTTCTTATTTTTTAAATTACATGTTCTGTTTTAACTGATTTATAACAATTGAAATTGTATTTGAGGCTCACAATCTTTATTACATTTTGTGATATAACCACTACCTGCTTGAAATCTTTGTTAAATCTGACAAATATCTTTTTAACATATTCTTTGGAAAGGTACAATATCCATTTACTTGAGAGCAATTTGTTGCTATATTTGAATCAAGTTTGGGAAACTATAAATAAGTTACCATGAATTTAAATTGATCAAACTCAGAGCAACTGGTACCTCCTGTTTGGAGGGAAACCACAAAGTTGGACAAGGATCTGAGTATATGCTGATTTGGGTGTAGACAGTATACAGTATTTAGGTGGATTCATGCAAATGGTGGAAGAGATGCAGTTTATTACTGTAATTTTCCCCCTTTGGCCTAGTAATGAAGAGGCCTCAAACTGAGGTCCTAGAAATATTGTTGAGGCCATTGGTGACTCCATGTCTGTAATCTATTCAGATATGCTTGAGGCTGCAAGGAAAGGAAGCCACAGGAAAATGGGAAAACCTGCTTACGAGGCTGAGATGGAGCAGACCCAGTGTTCTCAAAGACTCTTTCAGGGTATCCATGAGATCAGAGCTATCTTCATAATAATACGAAAATGCTCTTTGCCTTTCTTACTCTCATTCTTTCACCAGAGTGCACTGTAGTTTTCGAGACTACATGACATGAGATATCATTGTTCTAACTGCTAAAAGAATGTGTGCTCATGAATACATTTAAAATTTTTCTCAATGTTAAGTTCTAGTACAATAAATGTTGACAGATATAACTCACTTAAGAGCTCAAAAATTTTTAAGAGTGTAAAAGAGGAAATATCTGAAATAATGTAGACTGTGTAGCCCTATCTCACCTGTGACCTGGGGCAAGAAGCAACATTTCTTGGTCCTATTTTCCTCACTTGCAAAACAAGGGGAGTTTGTCCCACTGCCCATTTTACACTTTTAACACTAAGGTTCTGTGGCCTTCCAACACTGAAGTGTTGCTATTGCTGCGGGAGTCTGCTCTGATCAGAGTTGTAGGAGCACAGAATTTTAGAGGCTTAGAGAAGTTAATTAACCTCCCAGGCTTAATTAACCAGTCACACAGGCTGAGGAATGGTGGGACTGGGAGTCAAACCCAAGTCTGTCTCACCGCAGCATTTAACTTGCTATTGAATACTGCTCACTGAAGTGAGGAGCATCGCACATGGGGGCGGGGGGGGGACCCAGCTTTGACTCTAAAGCCCAGTTCCTAGCCTTGGAGTTAACATTAACGGAGTTAATATTTTCTTTGTTGGTCTTTTTATTTTGCATCATTTATAACTTCTTTATACTATATGAAAAAAGCTGATTACTTCCACTGTTTCTATGGTAGCCAAATCCTTCTGCACATCTGGGAACTGGGCATTATTAAAAATAGCAAATTCCCGGGTTTCCCTGGTGGCGCAGTGGTTAAGAATCTGCCTGCCAGTGCAGGGGACACGGGTTTGAGCCCTGGTCTGGGAGGATCCCACATGCCACGGAGCAACTAAGCCCGTGCGCCACAACTACTAAGCCCACGTGCCACAACTACTGAAGCCCGCGCACCTAGAGCCCATGCTCTGCAACAAGAGAAGCCACCGCAATGAGAAGCCCGTGTACCGCAACAAAGAGTAGCCCCCGCTCGCTGCAACCAGAGAAAGCCTGCACGCAGCAACGAAGACCCAATGCAGCCAAAAATAAATAAAAATAAAAAAGTTTATTAAAAATATAACAAATTCCCTAATTTATTACATCATACTCCAGGATTTTCTTATTGCTTGAACATATAGAATAACATAGTACTGGGACTTCCCTGGTGGCACAGTTGTTAAGAGCCCGCACTCCCAGTGCAGGGGGCCCGGGTTCAATCCCTGGTCAGGGAACTAGATCTCACATGCATGCCACAACTAAGAGTTCACAGGCCACAACTAAGGAGACTGCCTGCCACAACTAAAACCTGGCGCAACCAAATAAATATGTTTAAAAAAAGAATAATATAGTACTATAAAATGCACTAACCTTTACATAAATTTTGCTTCTTTCCAAAAGAAACTGCCACTTTAATGCTGTTTTCTGTTCATCCGTCATTGCAAGAAACTCATTTACCTGGATAAAAAAATTAAACAAATATTTCCAAAGAATATATAGATAACTCATCTTGACAATAATGTAAAACAAATTTGCTCACTGGAAATGGAATTTATCCATAGTAATTACAGGTCAATTCTCTTGACGGAGGAGATAAGGCTAGATAGAAAGGCTCTAAACTGAATGTCTGAAGCCAGCCAGGTGGCTCGGCACAGAAAGCCCCCCTTAACAAAGTGGAAACCACTGAGGCTTAATGGTAAACTTCATGAGCGGGTTCTAACAATAAAAAACATCAAACCTAACATCAAGCACACAAGCTAATCTCTGCTGCTGTGCTATGGGGCAGACTGAGGAAGAGCTCATGGCTGACCTTATACACCTGGGTAGGTGAAATACTGCCAAACCCTCCTCACAGAGGACCCTGCTCAGTGTCTCCAAGGTGTTGTTTTGCCCATTGTTATTTGACTATATAAAATGTCATGTTTATTCTCCACTGTCACCAAGGACGTCTCTTGTTATTCCTAACAGTTAATGTTAGCTAGGATTTTAATATGCAATATGTAATTATTTGTTCATTAAAACAATGTGTGTTTAAGTCAAGATTGATTTTTCCCAGACCTCTTTATTAATGAATTAATTTCTATCAAATGTTCACCAAAATAACCTATATGTTTGGGGAAGCGAATTCAATTTGGAAGTATTTCTAAACATATTTTCCTTTTTATTATTTACCGTGAAGCCCAAAGTCTCCTCAGCAACACTTCCTGTGAGACTACAGGAGTGGAGGGTACCTGTGTGATCAGTAAGATCAATTAGCATATGGAAGCTGCGAAAAACTGATTTAAATTCTGAAGAATCTTTGTTGCAAGTTGTACAAGTGCTGGATGCTTCATTTACAATGTAACCACAGCCTGCACTGAAAAGAAACAAAGACAAGATAGAATGTGAAGGCCCTAAGTGACAAATCTGATCTCTAGCAGAAGAATTATCACTTAGACTTTTAGCCTAAGTCAGCACCTGGAATATTTACAGAGCAAGTAATTACAGAGTGCTCAGTGCTGAGCAGGGTACAAAACAGACCTACGAAATAACAAGGAAAAATGCACAGCAATACAACATGCTTTCTATGCAGTCAACCTCATTTTCAGTATTCCTGCTTCAGAAACTGGGACAATCCAGTCCTCTCACAGTTCTGCCTCCTACTTTCCCCCATGCTGGGGTTCTTGCCCAGGATCACTCCCCCACTGGGGCCTTCCTCACTTGCACCCCAGCCCCACACCCTCCCTTCTCTGAACAGCTGCACAACTTACACTTCAGCACGAACTTACACCCTATCACATCCTATTCCATGTTATTGCAGGTATGTTTGTTTATCTCCTGGCTCAGAGTTTGAGGGCAGGAATCCTGTCTTGTGCCTAGAAAGCCTGGGTTCCATGAATGCTCACTTGGTCCTGTACTAAGTCCTCTGTACATCCACAGAATAACCTGAGGGTTGGGGAGGTTCACACTCTAAATGCTGCTAGTACTGCTAGTGACACATTCTCCTCTCTTTAAGGGGTAATTCCATGCTCTTCTATATTTTTGAAGCAGTCATTACTTTGCCAATTTGAATAGGCAAAGACTAATTCAAATTTCTCAAGCAGAGGGAATGATCTGAAGATACTGGTTTCTTGTAAGCCACAGATCACTTTTGAATTAAATTTTAGATACTTTTCCTCAGATATCAATATTAAAGATGTAGGAAAAATAAGGGAGACAATAACATTTTTTTTAATTTTTGAAAAATATTTTTCAAAAAATAAACACCTGCCTTACACAACAGCCTCTACATTAGTTTTTTTCAACTTTAACACCAAATCATACAATGTTTTAAAAATCCATAGGTCAATTTCTTGATTGTGGTGGTTTATCATTTCATACATGATAAAACTATATGAAATTTCACATACACACGATGCATATTAATCTGGGGAAATCTGAATAAGATCAGTGGATTTAATTAATGTCATTACTGTCTATGATGTGATGCTATAGTTTTGCAAAATGTTACCATTGGGGGAAACTGGACAAAGTGTACAGTTTATATATTATTTCTTACAGTGCCATGTGAATCTAGAACTATGTCAATAAAAATGTCAATTATAAATCCATAGGGAGGCTTTCACAATAACATTTTAGAATTTTCTTACCAAGCATTTTTTGGCTAAGATTATTAAATCTACTTGGGTTTACTTTTCTATGCAAGTAGATACTAACTTTGACCTAGGAGAGGTTGGAAATCATATTTTTCATACAGTTGAAATAATTTATTAAAATGCTATTACTTGTATTGCTATAGGATGTGGTCACCAAAATAATTTTCGAATTGTCATAAAACAATAGTTTCTTATCCCAGCTAAAAGTTTCGACATTATTATATCTTTCTATTTTAGGGTTGCTGAAACACAGTAAATTAAATTTTGCTTTAAAAGGCAATTATAATTTTGAATCTAAATAGTTTGTCAAATGCATAACCACTTATGCATAATGCATAACCACTATTCAAATGCATAACCACTATTATGTCAAATAATAGCTTAACTTTATTAGAGTTTAAAATTTATTAACAAGGGGGCTTCCCTGGTGGCACAGTGGTTAAGAGTCCACCTGCCAATGCAGGGGACACGGGTTCGTGCCCTGGTCCGGGAAGATCCCACATGCCGCGGAACGGCTGGACCCGTGAGCCATGGCCGCTGAGCCTGCGCGTCTGGAGCCTGTGCTCCGCAACTGGAGAGGCCACAACAGTGAGAGGCCCATGTACCAAAAAAAAAAAAAAAAAAAATTAACACTAACTGTTTTTATTTCTTACAAGAATGAACTTTCTAAAAGTAATTTGGTTGCTTACCATCTATTTCGAACTACTTTTGTAGTTTCATCATCAATGTTCAGTGTAGAAATGTAAGCATAAAGAATTCCATAGATAGGATCAGCTTTTCCTTCATTCTTCAAAGCTTTTACCTTTAATTGTTCAACTGTATAGACATCAACTATTGTATTTACTAAAAAAAAAGAAAAGTCATGGAAGTTCTAAATATATTCTAAGAACTCCAAAGGATTATATCCAAATAGAAAAGCTACAAAGCTCAAATGAGAATACGTAGTAGCTTAAGTTATGTAATAGAAAAATTATTATATATGATATATTAAAACTGATTATATAGAAGGACATAAAAGCAAAAAAGGAAAAGAATGAGAAATTAGTCTTTATTAAAATGAATAATTTCTGATCATCAGAAGATTCCATTAAAAGAATGAAAAGGCAAGCCATAGAGTGGGAGATGCTAGCAATCTATAAGGAGATAAAGGATTCATATCCAGAATATCTAAAGGATTCTTAAAAATAAATAAGAAAAAGACAAGTCAACTCAATTTTTTAAATGGTGAAGAGACTATATTTATTTATTTATTTTTGGCTGCACCACGTGGCTTAGTTCCCCAAAAGCCATGCCGTGCAGCCGAAAAACAAAACAGAGCAAGACAAAACAAAAAAAACAAAAAGAAAGAAAGAAAGGAAACATGTTAAATATCCTCCAGGAAAGCATAACAAAGTTCTTCTTTTACAAGTTAATGTGACTTGCAGCATAACTTATTTCATGCTTAATTCAACTGTTACTCTCTCTAGAGGAATTATTAGGAAGTATTTCATCTCCTAGGATGAAGTTACAAGAACGTGCCTTCAGGAAATGATTGAAGTTTTCCCTCTGCTTTCCGCCATTCTCCTGAGTGTCTAAGCATAAGCCACAGACGGCAACAAACCACATCCCTTTTTTTTTTTTTGGTCACACCACGAGGCATGTGGGATCTTAGCTCCCCAACCAGAGATAGAACTCACGCCCCCTGCTTTGGAAGCATGGAGTCTTAACCACTGGCCTAACAGGGAAGTCCCAGCATCCCTTTTAAAGTCAAGCTTCAGTCTGGGGTCTGTGAACACATGACATTTTATGCAAAATTCTATGTGTGGGTACAGCTACTTTTCTGGGGAAAGGGTCATAGCTCTCATCAGATCGGCAAAAGGTTATATAAGCCTCCAAAAGTTTTAAACTACCTTTTAAAAAGTGGAAGTATAGGGCTTCCCTGGGTGGCGCAGTGGTTAAGAATCTGCCTGCCAATGCAGGGAACACGGGTTTGAGCCCTGGTCTGGGAAGATCCCACATGCCGCGGAGCAACTAAGACCGTGAGCCACAACTACTGAGCCTGCTCATCTGGAGGCTGTGCTCCGGAACGGGAGAGGCCGCGACAGTAAGAGGCCCGCGCACTGCGATGAAGAGTGGCCCCCGCTCTCCGCAACTGGAGAAAGCCCTCGCACAGAAACAAAGACCCAACACAGCCAAAAATAAATAAATAAAAAGTGGAAGTGTAGCAGTTACATAATAAGAATACAATATCTTTTACTAAGTAACTTTACAGGCCCAAATTCTGGCCTTTTAAAAATTCAAATAATATTTAAAGGTCACTTACAACTTGTGGATTCTTTCAAATAACTGTCAATTTCATCATCCAGAAGATTCGCTTCTTTATTTTCTCTTATAAAATTCAATAGGATGTTAGCTTCTGGTGTATCTTAATTGAAAATGCATAATAAGTAAACAGCAAACTGATTATTTTTTAAATCACTGTAAATGATCCAAAATTATTTTTACCAGTAAAAAGTGAAGACGTATAAGAATACAATCAAACACAATATTACAAAGCCATTGACAATGTGATGGGGTGCTCCATTAACACAGAGAGATGTACACCAGATATCATGAGTTTAAAGAGCAGCTTACAAAACATTGTCATACAATTCCCTTTCATTTTAAAAAAGATACATAAGCAAAATTATCTGGAAGAATATCTATCAAAGAAATGATTATCTCTTATGAGATGGTGAATTTACAGCTGATCTTCCTTTTTATGCTTTTATGTATTTTTTGAATTTTATATGTATTTCTTTTCTAGTCAGAAAAAAAAATTTTTAAGGTTGTTTAAAAAGCTTGCTCCAGACTTGCCTGGTGGCACAGTGGTTAGGAATCTGCCTGCCAATGCAGGGGACACGGGTTTGATCCCTGGTCCGGGAAGATCCCACAGGCCGCGGAGCAACTAAAACCGTGTGCTACAACTACTGAGCCTGCTCTCTGGAGTCCGTGAGCCACAACTACTGAGCCCACGTGCCACAGCTACTAAAGCCCATGCGGCTAGAGCCCATGCTCCACAAGAAGAGAAGCCACCGCAATGAGAAGCCTGTGCACCGCAACAGAGAGTAGCCCCCCGCTAGCCACAACTACAGAAAGCCCAATGCAGCCAAAAATAAATAAATAAAAAGATTTTTTAAAAGATTCTTATAATTAAAAAAAAAAAAGACCTTGCTTCTCGGGACTTCCCTGGTGGTCCAGTGGTTAAGAATCTGCCTTCCAATGCAAGGGATGTGGGTTTGATCCCTGGTCAGGGAACTAAGATCCCACATGCCACGGGGCAACTAAGCCCGCACACCACAACTACTGAGCCTGAGTGCTCTAGAGCCCACGCGACACAATTAGAGAGTCTGTGTGCCACAACGAGAGAGCTTGTGTGCTCTGGAGCTGTGCGCTACAACCAGAAATAAGCCTGCGTGCTGCACCTAAAAACCCCACATGCCACAACGAAGACCCGAAGCAGCCAAATAAATAAATAAAATACTTAAAAAAAAAAAAAACTTGCTCCTCAATTTGGGACATGAGTATCCTCAGGAATAGTGAGATAATGTGCCAGAAGGCACGAATCTGATTTTGAAGAGGGGCTCTCTAACTCTGACACCCTTCAACTCCAAGCCCCAACCTCTAACACCTGCTTGTCTTCAGCCCTCCCTCACCATCTCCAACATTCTGCAAACCGTCCTGCCAATGCTTGGACCCCCTGACTCCCCTGGACAGAGTCAGGGTTTCTTCCTCCTCGTCCTGTTGTACCACAAGTCTTATCACTGTTGGTTCTTTCTCAGAACTAGACTGGAATCCCAGACAGGGGTTTTGCCTTTTCATTTCTGTACTTCAGTTATAGTGACTATCCTTCCATCCATCTGAGCATCCATCCACTCATGTACTTCCTTGTTCCAGAAAGTGTTAAAGTTACCTCAGTAGTTGTCAAATAAAAGGCATTCACTAAATATCTGTAAATTAATGAGCATCCTGGGACAGAAGCTGGTAGGAAGGGTGGGGTGTAGGCACTGCTGTCAAGAGCTCTAAGGACAACAGGGTCATCCCAGACTGTCTGTGGGGGGACAAATTCTTCCTTCCCCATCTGATGAACTCTCTCGGGGCAGGAAGCCTGGACATGCTGGCTAGGATGAAAGCTCAAACCATTTAGAGGTTCTTAACTTCTACGTGGCATGTGTAGCCCAGGAAATTAGAAATAAGACTGATTTAAATAAGCATATTGAAATTCACACACTGTTATACATATTCTCCTTTATATTTGTCTCCTTGAGAAATAAGGCATTTATTCTAATGATGTTAGCATTGCTCAAAACACTTTGACATTTCCCCTTTGAACCTGTTTTCAGAGCCAAACGCACAACATCCTTCAAATCTGTCTCATTAACTTAGTCTTGAGGTTTTGATACGATTAATACTGTCAAGCTTGATAACCTTTTCCACCAGACAAATCCAACTGGGCCCGTGAGACACAACTACTGAGCCTGTGCATCTGGAGCCTGTGCTCCGCAACAAGAGAGGCCGCGACAGTGAGAGGCCCGCGCACCGCGATGAAGAGTGGCCCCTGCTTGCCACAACCAGAGAAAACCCTCACACAGAAACGAAGACCCAACACAGCCAAAAATAAATAAATAAAAATTTTTTTTTTAAATGGGTCTGGTTTTTCACATTTCTTTTGTAAAGATATCAAAGATATAGCTCATTGTAAGTTTTTCAAAGCAGTTTTTCACTTTTAATTCAAATGAAATCCAAGCTTCATTCTTAAACACACTGCACAAATATTAGAATACATGATGTAGTCATTTCCAAAGGGATAAAAAATTTCAGATAGCTTTTTACCTGGATTAGTTGTAATAATGGTTTTTGAGATTACAGTTGCTGTCATGCAGTTCCGAAATTTGTCAAAACTTATTCTTACATCTGAGGCAAATATTACTGTTTGGGAAAAAAGCCATTTTAAAATTATTACACAGGGGGATAAAAAAAATGACAAATATTGAACACAATCATTGAAGTATACCTGTTTCTCGTGGCACCCAGCTCTGTGCAAGTAGAATAGATTCATTATCCCAACTGCATGTGTTAAAAAAGAAGTGATAAAAATCAAATACATTAGAAAAAAACTGGCAGTGACCACATTATTTACCAGAAAAAGGATGTCTTAATGGATGAGGTTAATAATCCCCCATACGGTCCAAGGCACAGTTAAGGATTTTGGCTTCTCCTGCCATTTTGCAGGGCTACACTGCCTATTTCACAGAAAATTTAACACCTATGAAAATCATTCCTTTCAGCACCATTCATCTCTAACAACTTCTGCTCCTTCAATTCCTTCTTTTCCTATCACCCAGGTCACTCCAGGCTAGTTAGAACTGAGTGACTACAAGTTTAAAAATTTTGAAGTCACTCTTTTCATGCCATTAAGGGAGGGCCCCCACCATGGATAAACTGCTCGGGGGACTTGATAGGTTGAAGCCCTGTTTCAAATTAAGTGCTTTCTTTGGTACCCAGGCATCTGGAGTCTAAACAATACCATGTTATACCCTGTGATGCTTCAGGATGTAGCCCTGCCCCACATCTGACACACTGGGAGCCCCATAGAACCCAGCCTGTGACAATGCTTGTTTTTCTACCATCTTTCCATGGCTTGGCTCCAGGGTACCACCCAAGGAATCACAGAAAGTCTGGCTTGTTCTTTATCAATGAGACTTAGTAAATGACGATTTGTTACAAAACAGAGTACAATAATAAACAAGTTACAGTAGAGTCCATCTATGAAATCCCATGCCATCTAAAGATCTCATTTTAAGGTAATCATAGACTGTAATGACTCAACATACAAGAGAAAGGTTTATTTTTTAAATATCATTTCTATATCAGTACTCCTCTCCTGATATGAAATCCATCATCTCCTGATGAAATTAAAATGTCTGACTTGGTGATAATAGCACAGATTTCACAGTTTGGAACAGATGTGGAAAGTTACCATATCATTGCAAAAGAAGGCTCTGTCTCATCATAGAGTTTAACTTCACACCTCTGGCCTTTTCTTTGGTCTGAAGTTGTAAAGTATTTTGGCTCTCCAACCTTAGAAATTGAAGAAAATCATTATTTTTCTTCACCTACAGCTGTAGAGGTACTTAAATATTTGTTGATGGAAATACTCAAATGTTTACCTTTTAAACAACAAATTAGAAATATCAAAATAGCTAGAATCACTAATATATATTTGATGATTTAACAGCATCTTTTATCTCTGAACCAGGTGTATTTAAGTTGTAAGTCACACACTTTGATTGAAGAGAGATACAGATATGTGTGCTTTAAGTCAAGACTGTGGGATCTTTTCACCATGTCAGAACAAATGCTCCATGACAAGTCCCTGGGTGGCATCTATGTGGACTCAGTGAGGGTAGAAAGTACATTTTCAATATCTGTGTATCCCCATGGCTTAGCACAGGGCCTGGCACGGAGTTAATGTGATTGGATGAATTCATCTCTCTGGGCCTCAGTGTCCTCGTCTTGCTAGCCCAGGTATGGATATTGATACCCCCTTTGCTGCCTTCCTAGGGACAAGCTGGTGAGAATCGAATGAGGGATACATGGGAATGTGCTTTGATATACCGTCTGATTCAGTCCACACTGTGGTGTAAGAGGATCATGGACGTGGAGGTGAACTCAGGGGCCCTTCTGTGCCCTCAGGGAGTTCTCAATGGAACAGCAGCACCTCTGATGGTCACACAGCAATGGCCCAAGCATGGACAGTCAGCTGCCCCCTATGCCACTGTCACCCATGCATCTATTGTCAGGGCTGAGCTCCTTAGGCAGGAGCTGAAGAAAGAGTCACAGCTGCCTGCATAAGAGAGCATCTAGAAAGAAAGTCAGAGGAAAGGACAGCCAGAGTATGAGAGAGGCCTACCATATCACAGCATGCAAGAAAACTGTATGAAAAGGAGTTTTAAAGTGAAGAGACCTAAGTAGAGGCGAGAAGGAAGAAAACAGGTTAAATAAAAACGTAAAGATAAGGAAATGTAAGAGGGATGGAAGCAAAATGGGAGAAAGAAGGCATGAAAATAAAAGAAATAATATAATCCTATGAAAGGTGGTACCAGACTCAAGAGGTGGAGGCAGGAAGGGGGACATGGAAAAAGCTGTTGTAGGTTTTATATTCATACTGAGTTTTAGAAAATCCTTACTACATTGTGATATAATGGCATTATATGGAATTTCAGGGAAATTGAGAGATCATATCCTGCCTTTAAGTAAGATTGAACCTAAGTTGCCCAGAAATGAATTTTTCCCATTTTTCAAGACTGTCATATCGGGTGTTTATTCCTCCATCCTGAATGATACTGAGTGTTCACTGTGTGGCAGGCACTGTGCTGGGCTGTGCTGGGCTGGGCTGGGGAACAACGCAGGCAGGCCTCTGTTGGCCTGTCATGGGGATAGTCGACACTCAGTCATTTAATATGGAAACGCAATTAGCAATTACTTACAACATTAACTATAAGTACCTAAATCTATTTCCCGTTTTTTTGTCTTCTGATTATCATCATTCTGTATATTGAGAAATTCTTCTTGCCCCTTTATTTATGTACTTTATTTTGTGAAAATTTGCTCCCTGCCAAGTGATTCTAGTCTGTCCAATGGAGTTCAAAACTTGCTGCAATAATTGGGTAAGAGGGAGATGTGGAAGCAAAGGATGGTGAGACATTCCCTGGCACCCCATGGAGTGTTGTTCTGCCCTGCTTTTCAGCACCTGATGCTATGCATTAGCTCACAGGGCCCCTACTGCAGCACCGTGGGTTTCTCGCTCTCTCCCCCAACTCAGGACAGCTCTGAGAACACGCACTGAATTGATTCCTTGATTTATTCAACTTAAGCCCCTTCAAAGAACTTCCTGGAGATCTTGAAGTCAATGAATTTACCCTTTCTATCTGTGCCTTTTGTTTAACTCAAGTATGAAAAGCTCTCATATAGTTAGCGGATCATTTATGACTGTGTACTGCATTTAACATTCAAATACAATTTTATTTTGCTACTCATTCACAGGTAAAATGCTGCTTTCCCTTTAATGAGAAGTGTTATTTTCTAAATTCAACGGAGGATGCATCAAGATACAGAGGAAATTTTACTCCAGTTGATTATTACTTTCCAAACACAAATAAAATGATAGAACTCCCCCCACCAAATTGAACTTGGCTTTGTTGGGGTTTTAACTTACCGACCTCACAGCTGCAAGGACATTAATAATTCTTCCATCAAGACTGTGTCCGTTTGCAACAATGTCACCCAATGAATAATAATCACAAGACTCTTTAACAGGTAAGTATATCAAAGAAAGTAGCTTGGCATCCACTTCATAACTGGAACAAACTTTTACCATTGAGTGATTCTCACTGAGCAATAGTTTATAATCGCTAAATTGTAAAAACACACACCAAAAGTTAATATCAAATGATTTTCTAATAGAAAAATACTTCAAAGTTCACAGTTAAACTTTGGTTGTAACTTAAACTATATTTTAAAAATTATATTAAGAAGATTTATACTTTTCACTCTTAGAAACATTGAAAAGCTTTGTAAAATATTTTTTGTCTAAAATGTATTTTCATTAAGAAAATGTTTTAAAGACCAACTGTGTCTGAGTTTTAAGCACACTAATAGTCTGATCTTGCACAATACTGAGTTTCAGTTTCTCTCTCTGTAAAAAAAAAAAAGGGTGTAAAAGCACTCTAAAACATTGTGTGTGGGGGGGGGAGGGTGATTTCCACCTCTATGACACTGACTGCCCTGCCTATGTGCTTCCCTTACCTCTGTGGTGCTCTGTAGGAACAGATACACAATATTTACACAATTGAGGTGCTCTTCCCCTTCCAGCCAATCAACTTCCAAGTGTCCTCCATGGAGCATCTTTCTAGTCCTCTAATCCAGAGCCTTCCCCGCCCCCCCCCCCCCGCTACTGCTTTAGGTGTTTCCCTCATCACTTCTCACCCAAACTACTGCTTGTCTCCTAAGCTTTGTTCCCCTACTGTCCATCCTCAGGTAGCCAAAGTGATCTTCCTAAACCACGAATATGAATATATTTCCCAGCTCAAAAGATCTTCTGTGCTAGCCATCACCAAAGCATGAAGTTGGTACAACAAGCAAAGCTGTCTGTGAAGTGTCTCTGCTTCTCTCTCGAGCTTCTCCTCCTGCTGTTCCCCTGCCTATATTCCAGCCACATCATATTCCTAGGCTATGAAACTACCACTTTAGAGAAGACATAGTCAAACATCAACAGTTTCATAAGGTTTAAACTACTATTAACTGTTCTGGAAAAGGCCAGGAGGTTTCGTGTTTGTTCCCTCTGCCAAGGATGCTCTTCCCTCCCTCCCTCCATTCATGTGTTCATTCCATAAACACTTACTGATAGCCTATTATGTGCCAGACCTTAGTCTAGGCACAGGGGGTACAGTGGTGAGGAAGACACACAAGACCTACGATCTCACGGAGTTTACATGCGTGAGAGGGAGACAGATAAGAACAATTAATCAAATAATCCCAGATTGTGATCAGGGTTATGATGGTACACATACACTGTGTACAGGACGAAGTCCTAGTAATGCAGACTGGAAGGGCTACTACAGACAGAGTAGGTGGGGGAAGATCTAAGGAGGTGACATTTAAGCTGACACTTCAATGAGAAGAGCAAATAAGATTGTTCTCTGCAGAGGGAAGTGAACATGCAATGCTGTTAGTGCAGAATGAGCCCAGGATGTTCATAAAGTGGAGGACTCTTCATGTGGCTGCAGAGAAATGAGACCTATGAGGTCAGAAAAATGGGTGCAGGTGCACGTGTAGTAGAGACTTTTGTGCCCACCCAGAGCTCTTTACCAGCTACTTCCTTCTCTCTCGAGATTTGCCCTCAGCCAGAAATACCTTTAAGCCTTCCCTCCTCTGCAGGAATAGGGGGTGGACTTCAACCAATAACTTGTAAATACAGGGTACAAAAGCCCAGGCCTCTTTCTTTAGGGTGGTACCACTTTGAGGTGCCACTCATGCTCCAGAGCTCCCATCTGGGTCAGGATGAGACTGGGCTCCTGCTGAACCTGCCTCTTTGCTCACCTTCCCCCCAGTGCTATCCTTACAGGCTGCTTCTAAGGGCTCTCCCTCAACAAATCATCTGCACAAAAATCCTCCTCTGGGCTCTGCTTCCAAGTAACCTGAACTAAGATAGTAAGGCATGTGAAGAGAGTTATAAATTGAGATGAAAAAATGGATATATGACTTCCATGATTTACCTTTTCACTGTTCAGCTTTAATGTGACTAGAGTCAGATTTTTGTAATCTAAGAATGAGAATCAAAGTACTAAAAACAAAGCCATTTTTTATGTGATCCTATGTCAAAGTAAATTATTTCATAATCAAAGATAAATATTATGAAGCAGAATTAAACTCCTAATTTTCAAACTGAAGTATACACCTTTAATAAGCTCTCTGTTAATCTGACATGCAAAAACTTATTAGTAATAATCATTCTGGCATAAACTTATTAGTAATAATCATTCTGACATAAAGTAATAACCATTCTGACCTCTGTGCTAGATTTACCTAGGAGTTGCAGGGCTGAACTTTTCTTCTCTTTCTAATTCCTTTCTTTGGATCAGGGGATTTTCAATTATCACTAAAACAGAGGGGAAAATATGATGTTATTAACAAAAAAGTAACAGGATAAGTTTAAAAAATGAGTGTACATAACAATGAACATTACAATGTTATTTCTAATTTTGAGTTGGTGTTATGTATCCTTCACAATCATTTTCTTGTGGCACTGTGAGCAACAGAATCCTGGGGTATGACCAATCAATTTGATCTCAGATGACATTTCTTGTACTTTGTGTTTAAATCCCAACATATGATCCACATTAATATTACTTTATTGAATAGTTACACTGAACATTTGATTTGGTTACAACATGCCCTTCTATAAAATAAATTGATCTTCACCCAATTCACAGCTGTCCTCAAAAATAACAGTGGTAGTTAGAAAGAGCAATGCAAAATCTGGGTCCTGATTTGAGCCCCACAACTTATCAGCTTTATGACTTAACATTTTAGGGTTTTCATTTCCTATGGTCTATGTTAGACTTTTATGTGCTCTATTTTGCTAATTCCTCACACAATCATCCCTCATTATTATCCCTTTTTCCAAATGAAGAAATTGAAGTTCACAGAGGTTAAATAACCTTCTTGAGGTATTATATCTAGAAAGTAGTAGAGTTGGAATTAGAACTGTTCTAATTCTATTTGTAATTCTAATTTAAAAATCTGTAATCTTTTCATTCTACCACACCAAAATCTTATTTACTTCTATAAGCATCATCAGATTTACACCTTTAAAATCCCTTATCTCATTCATCCTCACAACAGCCATCAACATGGAACATAGGTTAATACCGAAATATATCTTTAGCTCTAGGTAACTAATGTTCTGGCATTCATCCAAGAAATTCATCCAAGAAATGTTTTGCTTGTAGGAGGAGTAGGGTGTGGACTTCAGCCAATAACTTGTAAATACAGGGTACAAAATCCCAGACCTCTTTCTTTAGGGTGGTACCACTTTGAGGTGCCACTCATGCTCCAGAGCTCCCATCTGGGTCAGGATGAGACTGGGCTCCTGCTGAACCTGCCTCTTTGCTCACCTTCCCCCCAATGCTATCCTTACAGGCTGCTTCTAAGGGCCTGTAAAGTTTTTGCAAAGTCTGCAAGGTTTTCTGCCTTCATAGTTCATATGTTCAACTACCTTATTATTCAGTTAGAGAGATATTATATGTAATCCTGAAAGTTAATAATATGATTGGGTGCTGAGTAACTAGTATGGGTACTAGGCTGCTTGATACTGCAGGGTTGGAGAGGAGTAGTTTAATTGTCCGTGTTACCCTTTCCCTTCTTTTTTCTACCATGAAAGAGAACTGGTATACATGCTTTCTTGTTTCTTGTATGAGGCTAGAGCTGTCATCTATTGAGTGACTAAGTTCTACACTTTATAACAGGCACACTATCTCATTTAACATTCACAAGCATCTATAGGGTGTTAATTCATAGTTGAGACCCAACAAGATTAAGAAATTTTCTCAAAGCCACAATGTAATAAAAGTTGGTACTTGGAATTGAATTCAGATCTACCTGTTCTCAAAGTCTTGTTCTTTTCAACATACTACACTGTACCATAGAGGGCTATTGGGGTGGGTAGATGATATGAAAGATTTGGTATTTTAGGCTGAAGGTTTCTTAAAATCCATTAAAATTTCAAATATCTTTTATCAAAATCTATTTAGCATCCCTATTATAATTTTACAGAAAGATAAATGATTAGAGCCACAAGAGGGACTGATGCAAAGTGAAATAGAAATAAACCAAAGATCACAGAGCTACTTAGTAAAAATATGTGATTATCATGTTTGTATGTTTCAATTAAATGCTGAATGCCTTGTGTTATACTCTTAACACTTGACTTTTTTCTGGTAAGGTTCTTGAGAATAAGAATTGTGTCTCATTTCATTTTGACTCCCTCAGTGTAGTTATCACAAACATATCATGGGAATAATACTGTAAGAGAAACAGTTTAAGAATCAATGCCAACTTACCACACTCCCCAACACGAAAGCTGTCAGAAAGTGATCTGATGTAATCTTCCTTGCCCCACGATGTTGCATTTACAAAATGGGTTGTTGAATCACGAATGGTGAAACTGAAAGTGTACCTTTCTGATCCAATATCTAAGGAAAAACCAATGCTTTTATTTTTCAAATGAAAAGTTTTATTTTAACTTTGAACAGATATGATTATTTGATGCTAAAAACACTCAAACACATGGTGTAAAATATTATTTCAGATATAAATTATATAAGTTATGCTTTTATGAATTCTAAGCTGCCAAGGTAGATAACTCACCTCACTGTTACCCCTATGTTTCCTTTCCCCAGTTATCTGTATATTTGGAGGGAAATGACATGTAGGCTTGAACCATCCTGATATTAGCTTAGAGTCTCCATTTCTCTCTTACTGTTGTTTTAACCTAAGTCATAATTCAGATCTAAATTATTTCAAAACAAATAAACGTGTGCTGCTAAAAGATACCACTAGGGGTCAGCAAGTACTTTTTTTCCAAAATAAAATTTCTTTATTGTTTTGCTAATTTAAAAAGTAATACAGGGCTTCCCTGGTGGCGCAGTGGTTGAGAGTCTGCCTGCCGATGCAGGGAACACTGGTTCGTGCCCCGATCCGGGAAGATCCCACATGCCGCAGAGCGGCTGGGCCCGTGAGCCATGGCTGCTGAGCCTGCGCGTCCGGAGCCTGTGCGCCACAACAGGAGAGGCCACAACAGTGAGAGGCCCACGTACCGCAGGAAAAAAAAAAAAAAAAAAAGTAATACAAAACAGCGCGGTACTGGCACAAAAACAGACACACAGATCAATGGAACAGGATAGAGAGCCCAGAAATAAACCCGCACACTTATGGTCAATTAATCTACAACAAAGGAGGCAAGAATCTACAATGGAGAAAAGACAGTCTCTTCAATGAGTGGTGCTGGGAAAACTGGACAGCTACACGTAAAAGAATGAAGTTAGAACATTCTCTAATACCATATACAAAATAAACTAAAAACGGATTAAAGACCTAAATGTAAGACCAGATACCATAAAACTCCTAGAGGAAAACACAGGCAGAACACTCTTTCACATAAATTGTGTCAATATTTTATTGGATCCATTCCTAAAACAAAGGCAATAAAAGCAAAAATAAACAAATGGAAACTAATTAAACCTAAACGCTTTTGCACAGCAAAGGAAACCATCAACAAAATGAAAAGACAAACTACTGAATGGGAGAAAACATTTGCAAATGATATAAACAATAAGGGGTTAATATCCAACATACATCAACAGCTCATACAACTCAACATCAAAAAAACTAACAACCCAATTTAAAAACTAGGTAGAAGAACTGAATAGACATTCTTCCAAAGAGGAAATGCAGATGGCCAACAGGCACATGAAAAGATGTTCAATATCACTAATTATCAGGGAAATACAAATCAAAACAACAATGAGCTATCACCTCACACCTGTCAGAATGGCTATCGTCAAAAAGAACACAAATGGGCTTCCCTGGTGGCGCAGTGGTTGAGAGTCCGCCTGCCGATGCAGGGGACACGGGTTCGGGCCCCGGTCCGGGAAGATCCCACATGCCGCCGAGTGGCTTGGCCCGTGAGCCATGGCCGCTGAGCCTGTGCGTCCAGAGCATGTGCTCCGCAACGGGAGAGGCCACAACAGTGAGAGGCCCGCGTACCACAAAAAAAAAAAAAAAAAGAACACAAATAACAAACACTGGCGAGAATGTACAAAGGGAACCTTGTACACTGTTGGTGGGAATGTAAACTGGTGCAGCCACTGTGCGAATCAGTATGGACGCATCTCAAAAAACTAAAAATAGAACTACCATATGACCCAGCGATTCCAATTCTGAGAATATATCTGAAAAAAACAAAAACACTAATTTGAAAAGATACATGCACCCCAATGTTCATAGCAGCATTATTTACAATCGCCAAGACGTGAAAGCAACCTAAGTGTCCATCACCAGATGAATAAAGAAGTTGTGATATATATATATATACACATACATATATATACACACACACACACACACACATATATATGCACAATGAAATTTTTACTCAGCTATATAAAACAATGAAATGTTACCATTTGCAGCAGCATGGATAGACTTGGAGGGCATTATGCTAAGTGAAATAAGTCAGACAAAAGACAAATACTGTATGATATCATTTATATGTGGAATCTAAAAAATACAACAAACTAGTGAATATAACAAAAAAGCAGAATCACAGATAGTGGTTACCAGTGGGGAGACGGAAGGAGGGAAGGGGGGAAGGGGGGAAGGAGAGAGGGGCAATATAGGGGTAGGGGATTAAGAGGTACAAACTTCTAGGTACAAAATAAGCTACAAAGATATACTATACAACATGTGAAATACAGCAAGTATTTTATAATAACTACAATGAAATATAACCTTTAAAATTGTAAATCACTATACTGTATACCTGTAAGTTCTATAATATTATATATCAACTATACTTCAATTTTAAAAGTTTTTAAAAAGTAATACAACCTAACATACAAATGCACATTATAGATATCTATTGAACTGTGATTAGTGCTTACCTTTGGGGTGGGGGCTGGGATGGGAAAAGTTGAGGGTTAAATGAAGAATTTCTCTTTTGGACTCTATGACCTTCTGCACTGCTTGAATTTTTTATGACAATATATTGATATGTGTAATGTTTTTTAAAGTCAGTAAGCATATCTTCTCCAAAAAAGGAATACTGTACAGACAATTATAAAAAATAGTCAAACACTACAGAAATGGTGCCCTACTCTCACCGTCTAATAGGTGAAAATTTTATTTCATTGCTGTAATTTAAGCAAATATATAAATATTGACCTTTTCTAATTCATATATTTCAAGTTATTCCTTTTACAGCTTAGAAAACAGAGATGCAGGATTTCTCAAACTATTCAAGTGGTAATTCTGATCTAATTAATTATGATGCAGTAAAGAGAAGACAAACGAGTATGGGTGGGAGATGACATCTTTGTTATTTACCTCAAAAATAACAACAGAATATTATAAAAAATAAAATGAAAATAAAGGTACCTATCACTACACCATAAGTCAATTAACACAGCCACAATTAATTGTCTTCGTCTGTCAAAATTACTGGCTGGCTGACTAGAGCTCGGATTCCCTCAGGCTGTTTAGAAGGACTTATACTGTACCTTTTAATAAAAAGCATTGACACTTCAAAAGCTAATAATAGTGAATTGCTACTTTTGGCATTCTATAGTTCATCTCTGCATGTAAACTACAAAAGTTTGAGAGTCAGTTGATTTTAAAAATCCAATTTTAGTCTCGGATTGTGTTTCCATAGTCCTAAAATTCTTGCACAGTTCAAGCAACTCAATAAGAACCACTAAAGCCAAACTTAACTGTATTTTCCACATGTGAAAGGTGATTTTTTTCCACTGAATTGTCTGGTTCTTTGAGTAAATACATAGATACTGCTGCCATACTTCTCTCGCTCAACACTGTCAGGACATATCCCTGCTGGAAAACCTTCCTCCTTATCACTTTCTGTCTTCTATGAAGATTTACCTGTGTACTTGTATCTCTTAGGCTGATATTGATAGTTAACATGGAGTTCTTACTGTGCCTTACACACCCTTCCATGTATGAGCTCATTTAATTCTCATCCCAGCTTTATTTACCCCGATTTCACAGCTGTACATAGAATAGATCTCAGATGACTCGTGCTGAGCCCAGTCAAACTAGCTCCACGTCCATCCTTTCAGACACTTTGATAACTGAGGATGATGAGACTACATACAACGTCTCTCTCTCTTACCTTTCCACCGGGTTTTACACAGTGGAGGTGCTCAATAAGTACTCGTTGATACACATTAATGAGTTGACCAATTTAGCTATTTTAGTACTGTATACACAGCTTTTAAAATTATGTTTTAGAGATATCAAATAAAATCATTAAGAATGATTTAAGGCCACACATGTGGCCTTAAATCAAGTACTTTACCATGCAATAGAGAACATGGCTGTTGCTCTTAGGGAGTTAAACAGGCATGAGAAATTTAATCACTTAAATATATTTTGCTGTAGTCATAAGCCACAGTTGATGAAAAATGAAGCAAAGAGTTAAACAGAACTCAGCTTTTTCTGTCTGGAAAGCCTTTGACATCTGTTTTTCCAATAACTATGCCGATTATTTTCTGAAAAACAAAAAGGTTATAGAAGACAAATATTAAACACAGATGGAGATGGTAAATTTAATTTCATGGACTTGTTATATTTTACTGGCTCTAACAAACATTTTTAACTAGGAACCATTTAAATGTATTTATTCCAGACAAACATCTAAAACAACTTCATAAATGTTCAGCTCCACAAGGAGTAGTACAAAGTAATAAGACAGTTAACTGATATTACAAATATAATCATTTAATACTTAGTATGTTTCTACTTTATTTTCAATCATTAGGTGGAGCACAGTAACTGCCCTATGCTATCAGTCCTTACTGAATTCATTCAAAGCACATGTATAATGCAATTTAATTTGCCATGGTCTTCAAAGCTTTCTTTTATATAGGGTTTTCTAACAATCCACATAAAATTGCTTAGCTTCTTAATGCAAACATGCTGGACAGTAACATAAATTAGATTGTAACAAAACTTGCATATTGCTGCTAATAAATCTAAGCTCTGAAGTCCTAGATCTTAAACCTTAAAGATATTAACATCTTTAAAATTTTTTAAGTTCTCTTCAGTGACTAACAAAGAAAAATTAAGTATTTTTTAAATGTTTTAAGAAATAAAAATAACCTTTTTCTGAAAGGATGAATTTATATCACTAATTCTAGCAACTGATTTTAACCTTGCAATAATCTGTTACATTTAAAATACATTCAAGGACTTCCCTGGTGGTGCAGTGGTTAAGAATCCGCCTGCCAATGCAGGGGACACAGGTTTGAGACCTGGTCTGGAAAGTTCCCACACGCCAGGGAGCAACTAAGCCATGCACCACAACAAAGTGAGCCTGTGCTCTAGAGCCCGCGTGCCACAACTCCTGAAGCCTGCATGCCTAGAGCCCGTGCTCTGCAACAAAGAGAAGCCACCACGGTGAGAAGCCCATGCACTGCAATGAAGAGTAACCCCCACTTGCTGCAGCTAGAGAAAGCCCGCGCACAGAAACAAAGACCCAACGCAGCCAAAATAAATCTGAAAAAAATATAAACAAAATACATTCAAGCTTTTAAGACTACCACATCCTAGCTGAGCTATTAGCTAGTCTTATTACATTTAGACATATTACTATTATTTCTTTAAATTCCATATGCATGCAGATCTCACTGAATTTTGTTGGGAAAACAACTAATGGAAATATTGAGTAAAATTTTCTAACTGAAGAGGCAATTAGCAAATAGTTTACCTTTCAAGAAAAACTGTAACATCAATAATTATTTTTAACATTAATAAAGTTTAAATTGCAAATTATTGAAGTTATATGTAAATTTATCCCATTTTAAGAAATCTGATTTGCAAATTCTAAATGTAAACAGCAGACTGCTGGGGGTAGGAAAAGTAAGGCAGTATGATAATTGCTTTAAAATGAATTCTTCACCTTATAAGATGATTCCACCTAGATTTCTTTTAAATAAATAACAATCTAGGCATACTTGACATGACTGATTCCCCCACAATCCCTTCCCCCAAAATGAATTTTCACATAATGATTTCAGAAATATATCTTTTGTGTACCTTTATGTCATAAAAGCAGCATAATAGCAAGTATTTCAGTATATAACTTGGGCAATTTGACTAGAGAATAGATACTGCTGAACGACAATGTTTTAATTTTATAATGCTAAATTTGAGTACTTATTAAATATTTAATTAAAATATAGTACAAGGACTTCCCTGGTGGCGCAGTGGTTAAGAATCTGCCTGCCAGTGCAGTGGACACAGGTTTGATCCCTGGTCCGGGAAGATCCCACATGCCGCAGAGCAACTAAGCCCATGCACCGCAACTACTGAGCCTGCGCTCTAGAGCCTGCGAGCTACAACTTCTGAAGCCCGTGTACCTAGAGCCCGTGCTCTGCAACAACAGAAGCCACCACAATGAGAAGCCCACGCACCACAACAAAGAGTAGCCCCAGCTCACAGCAAGTAGAGAAAGCCCGTGCAGCAATGAAGACCCAATGCAGCCAAAAATAAATAAATAAAATAAAATATAATACAAGTAAACTTTTGATAATTTTTAACAATCGCTAGTCATATCTACAATCTCCTAATCCGTAGACAAAAGAAAGACTAATTTTCATTTAGCTGGCATAAATACAAAGAAGTTTAGGAGTTTTTAATATCTAACAATCACTAATGCAGTATCTGTATACTTGTCAATTATACAAGCATGTGTTGAAACGAATCAATAATGTTGACATAATGTAATATTACCACCTAAAGTTTCAACAGAGATCAAATGAACCACTACACCACTGAAACCTACCAGATTAGCCATATTTGGATGCAGGTCTGAAAGTGCAGTAAAGTTCTTTGATGCAATGGAGTTAGCCATTCTTTTATCTGCATATTAGAAAATATAACTTAGATGCATAAATTAAACAACTGAAATAAACCTTGAAAAATTCCAAGACTGAAAAAAGAATTTATTAGGAAAGTACTGGATATTCTACTCATTCTTTGGGAAAATTTTATGTTACAACAATGAAATGCAAGTTAGATTCAACCTGTAAAAAGCATGTTTCAAAATGTCCTCTTAAAGTTTTGAATGATATAGTTAGGTTTAAATTTTTAACTTTCACTTTTCAAAAAAATAATTTAGCAATATTTGAGCACCCTGCAAATTTAGTTTCAGATGAGAAATGATTCAATGGGACATTTGCAGATTTAAATATTTATTACCATACAGCCTACTTTAAAAAAACAGCAAAACTCTATTGTAACCACCTTGAATCATGCATTTAGTTACACTGTGTAAGGGGATAGGTAGTACTTTATCCTCACCTCTGGATGGTAAGTAAGCTCCATCAGGGCAGAGGTAGGATCTTACAAATTTTTTGTATGTGCATTTCAATGCTACCTTGCACATAAAAAGCACTCAATAAATAAATGAAATGGTGGCTTGTCCCTCAATATCATCACTAGAAAAGGTTTTAGTGTAATAACAACTGTCAGCTACACCAAACTAGCAGATTTACTCCATTTCACTTCATATTACGTGGCCTCTTTAACAGTGAATGCCCTCAGCTACAGGCTGCACTTTCAGGACATGTCGCATAATACGTTTCAGGAAGACTGTGGAGTTAGTCAAATATGATTATGAATTCCAGCGCCACTAGTTTGTAGTCAAATGTTTTGAATTACTGAGCTTTAATTTCTTCATCCACAAAATATGGATAACATCTACCCTACAGGGTTGTTGTGAGAATTCAAAATAATGTACGTAAGGTGCCTAGATGTTCACAGGCTCTTGACAGATGAGAACACTGCTTTTCATTCTTATCCAATGTAGCAGCTTCTGCATTCAAGCCAGAATAAACAATGGGGAATTAAGCAGCTTTAAGGTCCTACTTATTCTTCGGCCTAGTCTGATCTGGCTTACTATGCAATTTCAGTCTCTGAAATTCTTGACAAATTCATTCATTCATTCATCCATCCACTCAACAAACATTTATTGAGAGCCTGTCAAGTGCTACACACTTGAGGTTAGAGAGGAAGAACTATTCAGTAGCCAGATTTTGTGTAAAAACACTATCCATCTACATATTGAGTTCTCCAAATTTTTACCCCTTAATATCTCTTGGTGGTTATTGACTTACAAGTAATATCACATGAACTCTTTGAAGCTCCTTCACTTTCTACTATTATTCAAAATATATGGTGATATACCTTAGTGTCTGTCTACCAAAAAAAGGACAACTTGCTTCTCTACATGGACATTTTGAGAAATACAAAATTACCATGAACTAAAGAGCTCAATATGGTGATACAGAGATTATACCATTCAACAGCAACTACTGTCCCTTCTACTTTCCAAATATATTTTAAATGTCTCCTTTTCTCCATCTCTGCTGCCATCTCCTCAGCCCAAGGCTCAGTCATTCCTCATCTAGAGTACTGCAATTACCTGGTTTTTATACATAGTTTATTCATTCAACATGTGTCAGTTGAGTGTCTGATATGTATCAGGCCCTGAATCAGGATGGGGGATGGCTCAGAGAGCAGCAACGAAAACAGAGGGCCAGATGTGGGACTAGATGTATACAGCCTCAAGGCCACTGACTCAGATACTTGATAAGGGTAAAAGGAAAGAAGAGGTGGTGGTGAACCTAGTCTGGTTAAGGTAACATGATGGCAATGTAACAGGTAATAGTTGTGGAGTGTCTACTATGAGGCTGACCCTATACCACAGACTAGATACACCATGACCATCTCTGACAGCCCCCCAGCCCAGGTCTCCCAAATTCCCTTCCCTGAGTTCTGTGCCCTCCTCCTACTTTTGAAGGGCAACCTCCCGCCTGGACCAGAGCCCAGCCTGACCTGGCCAATTCCTCCCAGGGCCTTCCTGGTCCCTTGCTTTAGGTTTCATGAGGGCATGGTAGGGCCCAAGCCCCTCATGCTCCTACTTGCTAGAGCTTTCCTCCAGAGGACAAAGCTGCACTGCTTGGTCCTTACTCTCGTTGTGGCTCTGGAAAAAGAGAAGGGGACTCTGGACCCAGACAAGGAAGAGGCATTGCTAGCTGCTGGCTCTGAGAAGGTGTCTGACCCACAGGTCAGCTGAGGCTGTCAGTCAGACCCTCAGGGCAAACCCCACCAACTTTCTGATTTTGATGCCATTGTCTCAAATTCTGAGCAGGCCAGAGTGAGCAGACCTGGGGCCTTGGTATATACACAGTTTCCTCTTCCTTGAGCATCCTCTCCAATCCCACCCTCACATCTTCCCAAGACAGGATCTTCAGCATTCTTTGGATCTCAAGAAGACTTTCCTACTACCCTCCTTCAAGTATCCCCCAGCCTCTATTCCCTCTCTTAGCACTCCTAATTCATAATGTTGCTTGTGTGCTGTCTTTCTCCCTCATCACAGAGTGGGGTCTATGATGATAGGCTGTAATGTGAAATTATTGCTATAATTAACTTTTTGGATAAATAGAATTTTAGTTAACAGCTAATTTTACATTTATATCCAGCATTTAAATTATAGAAACAAGTACAGTTTATATCCTGCTATTCTAGATAAATAGAGCTTTCAAAGAGCTCAGCAATGATGGTCCTATAATTTGCTATTTTACTCTGTGCTGGGGCTACTACAGAGAAGTCCTCTTTATGTGGTTATTTCTATACATGGAAATCCCCCCAAACTTTCATCACAAACCAAAGATTTTCTAACAAACTTTGACAAAATTGGTCACCTCTCACAGAGGGGAACAGTCGCTCAATTATCTTTATAAATCCAATTCAAAAAGTAGATTTTACTCCTTTTACTGCTTCAATGGGAACTCAGCAAGTTTTGCACTTTTTTTAAGGTTTTTTTTTTTTTTTCCAGGCCCCATCGTGCGGCTTGTGGGATTTTAGTTCCCCAACCAGGGAATGAACCAGGCCACAGCAGTGAAAGGGCCAAGTCCTAACCACTAGACCACCCACCAGGGCACTCCCTGTATTTTGAAATTCTAGAAGAATGCTTGTTAATAACCTTTCAAGGTAGTTTCAAATTTTCTAACTAAAAGCTGTTTTGAAAAAAAGAAGAAGAGAAAGAGACAGAAAGAAAGAGGGAGGGAGGAAGGAAGGAAGGAGAGAAAAAGAAAGGAAGGAAGCAAGGAAGGAAGCAAGGAAGGGAGGGAGGGAGGAAGGGAGGAAGGAAGGGAGGGAGGAAAGAAAGAGGAAACATGCATGACTTGCATTCAAATGCCATTTCCCAAAGTTTATCATTTCATGCCCTCCTCACACTTTTGCACCTTATAGACGATAAGTCCAGCGCTTGGCAAACAGGGATTGAAAGCGGTCCCTTTGAAACCCTGAGGTGAAATGCGACTCTTCTCCCTATTCACTCTGTTTTAAAATGTATTCTGAAGATTCCAACTCTATGACATTCTGGAAAAGGCAAAACTGTAGAGACAGCACACCATCTAAAGTTGCGGGAGGGAGGGGTGAGTCGTGGGTAGGGAGTTTCCGAGGCAGTGAAACTGCTCTGAAGGATCCTGTAACCAGGCATCTGTCAAACCCACAGAATGTCCAACACCAAGCGCGAACCCTAACGTAAGCCAGCCTCCGGGGGGAACTCATTTTTGAGTCACTGCAGGACGTGGGTATATATCTCGCATAATTACACCCCCGCGTCTGCACTCGCCGCGCTCTACGCGGACGTCCACACTCTAAGGTGTTCTGCGTGTTTCTACGTGACTGTGTCCCTGCGTGTTTGGACTAGAAGCCGACGTCACCTGCCCGCTTCGCATCCGGGCGTGTTCTACGAACTCTAACCCGCCGGCTTCCACCGCGCGGGGAGACGGGGGTGGCCCGAGGGCCGGCCAGGACTCGGGGCCGGGGTCTCGGCGCAGGCCTCGCCTTCGTCACCACCCGCCAAGTGCGCGGGCAGCTGGGAGGGGAGGCCGCTCCCACTGCGGACGCCGCAGCCCTGAGATCCGCCCTCAGGAGCGGACGAGAGCCAGCCATCCGCCGCCCACAGCCGCGCGGGACCCGCCGCCCGCCGCCACCGGGCTTCACCTCAGGCGTCCGCGCCGGCTTCTCCCGGGAGCGCTCGCTTAGCCGCTCCTCGCACCTGGACAGCGGTCCGCCACACACAGGCCCCACCCGGCCGCTTCTCCACAGCGCGTTCAGCCCACAACCCAACAGCTCGACTACGGTCGCGCGAGGAATGCCGCGCGACCGTTAGCGCAGGCCCCGCCCCGCCTCGCGCTGGCCCCGCCCGTCCCGAGAGTCGACTCCACCCACGCCGACTCTGCCCCGACTCCGCCGACCTCAGACTTCGCCCCCGAATCCGCCCCGAATCCGCCCTCCCCGCCCCACGAGCTCCGACCCCACCCCCGCCCCGCCCCCGAACTCCGATTCCACACACGCCCTGACACCCCCAGAGTTCTAACTCCTATCCCGCCCCGCCCCTGCGTCCTGACTCCGCCCTCGACCCTGCCCTGTTCCCTCGGGCCGCCTTGAGGGCCTCCGTCCTTCTGGGGTGCGGGTCATGAGGATCGAGACTCCGGGAGGCTGGGTGCGAGTGGTTCCCGTTTCTTTCCTTTCCCGGAGCCCCAAGCCTGTCCTCCAGACTCGAGGATCCTCCGGGGCGGGAGTCCGGGGTGCTAAGAACCAGGCGCCCAGGAAGATGCTGGGGATCTTTTCTGCTGAAACACGGCAGAAATGCAGGAGGCGTTGCTATAGAAAGTGCAGCAGCTGAATGCACACCTACAAACAAGTGCTAGTGAAACCAGGGAAATCTGGAAAAGACTGGGCGTGTCTACTTCAGTAACCTAGTTGTGAGCTTGCAAGATGTTCTGATTGGGGAGAAGTGGATCAAGTGTAGCAGGGATGTCTATTATTTCTTATACTGCGTGTGACTCTATCTCAAAAGAAGAGTGCATGGAAGAAAAGGGTGCATGATTGCTCATAAGGCTTTTGGAAGGGGAGTGGGTGCTGGATGCAGACCCTGTCACCTGATGGGGGAGTGTGAGGGAAGGCCAGGCTGCTAGAACAATAACGATAAATACTGATGACGCTATTTATATCATTTCAGATATATACATATATACACTATACGTATAATTTGATGTGCTAAATATTGAGCTTAGGTGAACCTGATAAAACATCGCTAGCTTTTTAGTTAGTACCATTTGGAAATCTTTTTAGTCTGACTTATAAACTAATTTTTGTTAATAGAGTACTAATCAGGGGCAAATAAGATCCAATAACAAAATCCTTTAAATTTGTCACCAACTACTGTCCACATGTAGCATTACTTAAATTATTGAGCTTCTTTCTTTAAAAGGAAAAACAACTTTGATACTTATTAAACAACCATATACGACAAAAGAAAAATACAACATCAGGGGCAAGTCTTATGTAGTTATCAAAACATAGTGTTTTTTTTGTTTGTGTGTGTGGGGGGGGTTTGTGGGGTTTTTTTTGGCAGTGCTGTACGGTTTCCAGGATCTTAGTTTCCTGACCAGGGATTGAACTCAAGCCCCAGCAGTGAGAGCACCGAGTCCTAAGCACTGGACAGCCAGGGAATTCCTTCCTTTGTTAGTTTTTAATTTCCTAAATAATAGTGGAAAGGAAATGAAGTACCTGCATTCCCACCACTTAAGATTTAATAGAGGGCTTCCCTGGTGGCGCAGTGGTTGAGAGTCCGCCTGCCGATGCAGGGGACACGGGTTTGTGCCCCGGTCTGGGAAGATCCCACATGCCGCGGAGCGGCTGGGCCCGTGAGCCATGGCCGCTGAGCCTGCGTGTCCGGAGCCTGTGCTCCGCAGCGGGAGAGGCCACAACAGTGAGAGGCCCGCGTACCGAAAAAAAAAAAAAAAAATTAATAGAGAAAGCTTTAAAATTTTTTCCATATTCCTTTCTAGTCTTTGTCTTCACAAGAACTTTGTTGATCTTCCCTAAAGATTTTAAGTCAATTCTAAAGAAAAAAAAAAAGGTATAGAAATAGTTTGCATACACTTTTCATTTGAGCCTCAGTGGGGGAATAATATTTTAAATTTTTGTTTGTATTTTTTCATATTTTAGCAAATTAATTTTTGCTGAAAGCTATCTAAGATTAAACAAGCATAGTCAGCTTCACCAGGATACAACAGGCTTTTCATAAGACATGCTGCTTCGAAACACAAGCCTGAAAGAGTGGGATTGTTTGATGTTAATAATAAAATTGGGACCCCCCTCCCTCGTTGAGTAAAGCATTCATTTCTTCCATTTTTTATAGCAATTCTGTGAACTTGCTTTTTTCTTCACAATAGAATTAACTTAATACATTTTGGATGGATGTGAACAGAAGCAAGGACAGGGAATGCCTAGCCTTGCCACTTGATGTAGAAGTCGAGGGTGAGTGAACAAAGGTCAGCACTGAAATAGCTTGTGTGTCTGGCTAAAGAAATGGCGTGAGGCTACACTCATCACCTCCCCGGAGCATGCCAGCTGTCAGACCATCGAGGAGCATGTCACAAAGGCGTGACAGGGAAAACATGTAGTAATCAACTTCACACGTACTAATTGGTGGGGAAAAAATGGACAATTCTTTTAATGAATTACAAGACCACCTTTTATTTATTCAACAACAAAATAACTTTTCTAAAGTTGGTCCAGTGATTACAATATCCCTCCCAGGAGCTGAAATACAGGCAACTTAATTATTAGTCTCACTCTCCACTCTTCCGTCTATAATGGGACCAGCCAACATTTAAACAGATTGTACAACAAGGACCTACTGTATAGCATGGGGAAATGTACTCAGTATTTTGTAATAACCTATAAGGGAAAAGAACCTGAAAAAAATATATATGTATATATATAACTGAATCACTTTGCTGTACACCTGAAACTAACACAACATTGTAAATTAACTATACTTCAACTAAAGAAAAAAAGAGAAAATCAATTAACCATAAAAAAAAAACAGATGTAGATGCACTAGCATTTACAGATACTTGTGTAAATTTTTGCAAAATTTTTCTGAAGAGAAGCGAAGTAACCCGTGAATGGGGTTGGAAAAACTAAATGTGGAAATAGGGTTTAGAGGCAAAACGGAGCAATTGAAGAGCTATTGGAGCACGTGAGAGGCATTTGGGGGGAGCCGGATTCAGGAAAATTTGAAGTTGCATCGGAAAAGAGAGCATTCATAAAAACACAAAGCAGTAGCAACTCCGGAGTAACCTGAAGACCACGAGCCCAGGAATGTTCCCTGCAAACTGCTGAGTCAGGATTCAGGAGCTGTGGGAAGAACAGATTACTTCTCAAGTCCGAGGGACTCAAACAACAGCAACAAAAACTTGATTTGTTCCCCGAGCACAGTAACTGAGAAGGGAAACTGTAAACGTTGGCGAATGAATGGAATTAGTAAGGATCAGGGTTTAACTACAAAGTGAAACGGAAAAACCTACTAAGAGCCTGAAATACGAGCTGATCTACAGTAAATAAACTAAACTGAGTCAGGAGCAGGGTCTGGAACACAGTCACACCTCGTTTTATTATGATTCTCTCTCTCTCTTTTTTTTTTATAAATTTATTTTATTTATTTTGGCTGGGTTGGGTCTTCGTTTGCTGCGCGAGGGCTTTCACTAGTTGTGGCGAGGGGGGCTACTCTTCATTGCAGTGCACGGGCTTTTCATTGCGGTTGCTCGTCTTGTTGTGGAGCACAGGCTCTAGGCACAGGGGCTTCAGTAGATGCGGCACGTGGACTCAGTAGCTGTGGCTCACGGGCTTAGTTGCTCCGTGGAATGTGAGATCTTCCCGGACCAGGGCTTGAACCCATGTACTTTGCATTGGCAGGCAGATTCTTAACCAGTGCACCACTAGGGAATCCCCCAATAAAGTACTTTTAAATTAAGTTATGTACATTGTTTTTTTTAGACATAATGCTATTGCGCACTTCATAGACTAAGCATAGTATAAATAGAACTTTTATATGCACTAGGAAACCAAAACACTTGTGCGACTCAGTTTTATTGCGGTGGTCTGGAATCGAGCCATGGTGCCTGTCATTTGGTGTCTGTGGTCCATGCTATGTATTGCAGTGTGTCCTTTCTGTGCCCTACATGCCTGCTGTGCACTGTACCAAAGAGAACGTGTTGAGGGAAGGAGAGCTGGAGGAGAAGGAGGTCATGAGCACACAAAACACAGGCTTCCATTTGGGGAAAAGAACCCGGCTGCCCCCCAGCCCGCCCCACTGGAGGGTTACTCCTGTGACAACATTAGGAAGGCCCACCTCTCTGGAGGGCTGTCCTGGGCCAGTTTCACCACAGTTTATGTCAGACATACAATTTTTTAAACCTTCTGAAATTATTGCAAACAACTTTACCAGCTACATTGCAATGAACCACATCACTGACCTCTCAGCTTCCAGCTCCATAGTGCCACCTGGCTGCAGGCATCTCTGCCCACTAGAGGGACCAGGTGGAGCTAAGCTCAGGGCACCTAAAACTAAACTCAGAAGCTCAGGCCGGCCCTTCTTCTTCCCGTTCTGTCATAAACGTGCACTAGTAACCCAAGCTCAGAGCCTGAAATGTAGCCTTGCATCTTCTACTCTACCTTCACCTAATCAGCTGTTGCGTTCTATTTTTCTTTGGAAAATCTTTCTTTCTTTCTTTCTTTCAACTTTTTAATTAAATTTTTATTGGAGTGTAGTTGATTTACAATGTTGTGTTAGTTTCAGTTGTACAGCAAAGTGAGTCAGTTATAACATACATATACATATATCCACTCTTTTTTATTTTAGATTCTTTTCCCATATAGGCCATTACAGAGTATTGAGTAGAGTTCCCTGTTCTATACAGCAGGTTCTTATTAGTTATCTATTTTATATATAGTAATGTGTATACGTCAGTCCCAATCTCCCAATTCATCCCACCTCCCCCCCCCATCGCCTGGTAACCATAATTTTGTTTTCTACATCCCTGACTCTACTTCTGTTTTGTAAATAAGTTCATTTGTACCCTTGTTTCTTTAGATTCCAGATATAAGCAATTAATTTTTTAAATTAATTTTTATTGGAGTATAGTTGGTTTACAATGTTGTGCTAGTTTCTGCTGAACAGCAAAATGAATCAGTTACACATATACATATATCCACTCTTTTTTAGATCCTATTCCCACATATTTAGAAAACCTCTTGAACCTGCCCTGGTCTTCCCATTTCTGTTGCTTCATTTTGCCCCAA